TTTAATCAAAAATAGGGCCTGGATAGGACAAGAGGGACACAGTGACAGTGGAAACCCTCTTGGCAGTTCTACATGGAGGCAGTGCTCCATGGGTGCTGCTACAGGATTCCTCACTAGAGTTTGTCCTGCTCTCGCCACAGCCTCAAGGAATGTGACTGAGTGGAAGCAGGGCCCAGTACACACCAGGAGAAATTGGATTTGGATTCAGAGCTGCACAAGATCTCACACAGCCCTGGGACAACAGCACATCACACGCAAATGTGTTTGTTCATTTCATTTGATGCTGAACACAGAGCTGTGGCCTTATATTCCAGATATTTTTTTCTTGCAAAATCGGGCATGTGTGCACACAAACACATGCAGGGGTTGCCTTTTATTTGAGGTCACAAAACAAGCCAGGTGGCCAGTCTTCTGCAGTGGCAACCTAGAGCTAGGAACTCCCACTGTGTGAGGTTTAAGAAGGAGAAATTGTTAGAGTCTAGACACTACAACTTTACAACATCAATCATAGTACAAGCCAGGAACAGTAGGTGAAAAAGGTTTTTACAGCATTTTTCTGGAAAGGAAATCCTGCTGAACCAATTTTTCTATATTTTATCACAGTAGACACAGTACATTTTGGTCTAGAGAAAGATCTGACTGACCCAGATAATACAGACTTGGTTTATCTTGCCAAGTGAACATAATTTAGTATTTCTTAACAGTCCTAAGATTGTTTAGAATTCATATTGGTGATTGAAGGAGCCCATACTTGTCATATCTGGAAGCTGTACAAAGACTACGCAAGGCCCCTTTTGAAAAACTAGAAACAAAATTCAGTTTTCTGGTAAGGTGGAACTAAAACTCATACACTGAGTCATGCCATTGCTTGTGCCATATGCTACTATTATTTGTATGTTACTACTCAGTTTTCCATTGTTTGAGCAAATCCCCAAAATTTGATTATTGTCATGGATTCCACTAATATTTATAGATTTATTCATAGAAAAGAAACATATATTGTTGTCCCTTACAATATGAATTTAGTCCCTTTCCTCAAAAAGAGGATGGTTTAGCCAGTTGATTTTTTCTTCATATTTTGGGTAACTGAAATGCTGGTTTGGAGTACAGCTTGCAGCAGCATTTGCCTGCCTAGAAACAGAATTACTTTCTACCCATTGTGAAACCACGACTTAGGGTTTATTTGAAGATACTACTCTCCATGCAGCTGGATGTTTCTCTCCTTACATCTGTTTTGTCAAACATCTCAAGGTCCGACATCTTTTGAGATTGTCCAACTCAGGAAATATTCTTGACTTCTCTTCCAGAAAGTGTCAGACCTTTTCCCTTTACTCCCACATAGGTGAAGTGAAATGATTCCTCTGAACACAAACCCAGTGAGTGACATCTAATGAACTCCTTAGATAGTAAGTGAGAAAAAAAAAAATCAAATTCATCTCTCTAATAAAAGTTTGAGGTACTTTTGCCATGAAGAAAATTCCCTATGACTCACTGTGATGCTCACAGCCATGAAAAATACAAAAGCAAAGGATTCATATGTCAGCAGGGAGCTTGTTCCTCTGGATGAGTCTTTAGGGAAATCACTAGATGAAAACTAAGAGTAGTGATGTTTAGATGAAGGAATGAACCTGCCTATCAAAGTTTGTATTAATAGTAGTAATAAACCTGCCTAATCTGTTTGTAGTTAGCATTGTAGGTGAATCCTCAGATTTTATACAGCTGCCTATACTGCACTCCTTATAGCTTTGTCTTCCCTATAGTCTCAATGGGTAAAACAGAAGAAAACCCTTCAGTAGTGTAGATATTGGACAGTATCAGAACAGAAGTCAAACTGGAGCTAGTGACACATCTATAGTCAGTTTCCCCACTCAGACTAGGAACCATTACCGTTTTCCTGCCCTGTGATTGCAAATCCATTCTCCATCTGCCCTATATGTTTTCCCAAACAGGGACCTTCCTGCCTCACCAGTGGACTGCTGTGCACAGTATCAACACCCAATCCACTTTTTTAATGTCAGAACCAGTCTTCTTATGAAAATCATATAGACAGAGTGGGGTACTAGAAGCAAGAGAAAACTTTTGAACCAACCTCACAGTCTTCTCAAAAACACCTTGCCCTTTACTCATCCTCCAGACATGTATTTGCTGCTAGAAAAGCTGTTCTGCCCTCAAGAAAAATTCCAGCTTTGCTAGACCTGCCAGGAAGAAGTACCTTTGCAAGTCCAAGTGGGCAGTATTGTGCTGGTTTTGTTTGGACCCAGCCCCAGCCCTTCCCTCACTTACTGCCATGTTACCATCTTGTCCCATCCACTTACCTCCTCATCCCTTCCCTAATCTCCCTTGGCCTTGCTTCCAAGTCTTGGGGAGGAAAGGCAGACTTTGACACTGGCTGGGACTGTGCAGCAGATACCACAGGCAAGACTAGTCTGGGAAGCTGCAGAACAAGTAGTTACTGCCAATCCATATGACTTAGGAGTAGCCACTAACACGCTGGTGTTGGTGCCTGTGCAGAGGTGCTCACCTGAAGTGCATAGAAGGTGTTTGCATGCCATCATGGCTCCAATCTTGGCAGCTCAGATGAGCCCACCCACATCACCAGAGGGGGAATATCCCTCTCCAGTAATGTGTGTCCTGCCAAGGCTGGCCTAGGAAATTATGTATTGCTCCTCGACCATCTCTTTGAGAGCACAACCACATTAAGAGGGATGGGAAAATCAGTATAGAAATCTGACCTTTTTTTCCGTCTGTAGTGAATTTGTGAGGCTTAAATAAGAGAAATAGGAGTTTCCCAAACAATATTGAAAACACACAAAGTCATAATGCTGACTACTAGAAATAGGCTGAACTTCAGACAGCGCTGTACAGAAGCTTCCACTGACTGCCATTCATTTGCTTACTTATCTTTTCTCTCACTGACAAATCTGTGGTATAACTGAACCCTTTTCTCTCAATTTACCCTGAAGTAAGTTAGCAAAGGAACAAAGAAAGACAGTGTAGTTGTTTAATCAAGTTCATTTATCTGAGATAAGGAAATCTAGAAAAAAACAAAGAACGTCATGTAAATAAATGTCACCTTTTTTTCTTTTTTATTTATCCTTTATTTAGTAAAAGCACCCAAAGCTGCATTATATTAACACAAGTAATAAAGCTTTCATATTTTATTCCTACCAGTGCATTTCCAAGTCCAGGTGAAATGCCGGAAATAAGTAATGTTGCCATACCTTGAACACAGGGTGTAGATCACAATGATACATGACTTACAAGTGAATCCCAATTTCATAAAATAAAAACTTGTAGTTTAAAGTGTGAAACCTGTAACTTAAGCAATTGAGGCCATTTCTATTTCCACAAAGTACCATAACAAAAACAGTGCCTGTAGGATAACATACTTCATCATACCTCTTGCACCACTTTATTGAATACTCCATGTTGGATGTAGAACTTACAGCTATAGTGTGTGTTGGCTACAATGCTACAATGAGAATGTGTACCGCTTGTATTACAGAAAGGAGTCATGAAATGAATGGACCTGTCTGCATGTTTAACAAAATGGAACAGCAATACCATAAAACTGCACCACATGTGAATATTGTGAATGGTTAAGTTATACAGTCAGTCATTCAAAAGTCCAAATATTTCAATGAAAAAAATGTATATAAAATGTAGTAAAACATAAATTACATTTAAAGGTCTGTACACGATTCATCCTGCAAATAGAAGCACAAAAACAGCACCTTGTATATTACTGCTTATTTTGGTCTTCTAAAGTTCAGAGATCATTTCTACTAAAAAGTCGGGAAAAAAACATGGTATCGCATGCAATCCAGCAGTAACTGTGGTAAATCAAGTCTGTAACCCCACACAAAACCCAACACTTTTACAATGTAGGAACACACATGTGGAGCCCTTTTCTATACTTGATAACCATTTAAAGTTGGATTTATTAAGTTAGTGCACACCTATAATATCCCCTACAATATCCCCATTTTTGGTTAACAGTGTATTAAGGCTGTTTGCTGTTGAAAATACACAGCAGAGAAGGAATACTTTCATCCACAAATGCAGTCAGATGATCTCACTTGGAAGCTTCTGTCAGTCATTCACCCAAATTGATGAAAGAAAACCATCCTTTCTCTTCTCATGTTACTCCACAAGCTGTTGTGGATACTCTAGCTCTATGTGAGTTCAAAATCATTTGGATAAATTCACGGTAGAAAATTCCATCAAAGGTTATTTAACAAAAAAAAATTCCACTTCTGCCTTGGGAAGGCCCTTTGCCACAAATTGCTGGAGGCTGGGGCAATACCCTGGGAAATTTCTGCGAGTGAAATTGCCTTTGCAGTCTATCCCTTGGCAGGCATTATCGATGGTCTTTCAAGACATGACATGCTACTGGGCTGGCCCCGTGGTCTTACTCACCACAGGCAATTTTATGTTCAGTTTCCTCCTTTCCTTCTTATTGTAATACAAACACAGATCATTATTCTCAACTTAGATCTTCAGACTCAAAAAGCAAACAACAATCTTGTGTTCATTATGTTGAAAAGATAAATACTACAAACTAAACTGTCCATCACATCCAGGGCACTTCTTTATGCTTAGAGCAATTCTGCAACCATAGCTGGATTCCTTTTTGTGTTGTTGGCCTAAGCATAATTCACTAACATTACACTCATATATCATGATATACATGATGTGCAATGCCACTCTGCAACATGTTGCACAGCAACAGTACATATTTAAAAAGCAGCTCCTCTCAAGAACTCTAGGACAGTAAAAAAGATTAAACCCAGCAAGTCTATACCACCATATTTGAAAAATCTGCTGGTGGCAATGGTCATTAGACCTGGTATGTCATTACTGCTGCACTTTTAAATGGATGTTGCTTTTTTTTTAGTTTTGTTTCTTTGAGTCAGATCAAAATCACTCTACTAAGCCTAAGGATATACTGTCTCCGTGCATGGAAGCGACGTGGAATTCTTAGCAATAGGCCAAATTCCTTAGGCTACTGATTGAATTTCTGCTTCATCCATCTGAAGTGTGTCATTATCACCCAGCAATTCTGTTTCAGGCACCGAGCCCTCTTCCTCCTCCTCCTCCTGGACAGGGTTCTGGGCAATATCTTCTGTTCCATTGTGTGTGTCATCTGTGCCTTCTGACAGCAGGGCAGCCCTGTCGGCCACTGATGCATTGGAAGGTGCTGTTGTTACATAGCCTGTGCTGGTGGATCCACTCCCACTGTGGTGGGAGCCTGGCTTGGGAATGATCTGGGGAGGTATCTGCTGAGGAGCCATTTGCATTGGAATTTGGACAGGATAAAAATTTGGCAAGTAAGCACCATAGGCAGGCATTGGCTGGTAACCATTCACTGGAATGTAGAGCTGAGGAGGTGGGACCATTGGTCTCATCTGGCCTTTCATTTGTATGAACTGAGGTTGAGGGAAGGCTGGAGTTTTCTGCTTTGGTCCAATGTATCTAGCATTGCTGACATTGCTAACAGGGCTTGTGCTGAGAGAACTTGTTTGTGTGGTGTTGCTTGCCCCAGAAGTTTGTGCTGAGCTGTTGTAATTAGAAAGGTTCCCCCATGTTCTTAGTCTGTTATGTATATCTTTAAATCTTGGTCTTCTGTTGGGAAATTCATTCCAACACTCCAACATCAAAGTGTATATCCACGTGGGGCAGTCATCGGGACATGGCAAAACTTGTCGGTTCCTGATCATCTCAATGACATCCTGGTTGGAATAACCACAGTAAGGCTGCAGGCCATAGCTGAAAACTTCCCACAAGACAACTCCGTATGACCATATATCTGAATCAATAGAAAACTTGCCATACATAATAGCCTCAGGGGACATCCACCGGATAGGAAGAAGGGAATTTCCCATCAGTTTGTAGTAATCAGCAGCATAAACTTCCCTGAAAAGGCCCAAATCAGATATTTTCACATTCAGTTTATCGAACACTAGTATGTTTCTAGTGGCCAAGTCCTTGTGGACAACATGGTGGCTAGAAAGATATTCCATTCCTGCAGCTATCTGAGTCACAATGTGAAAAAAGTCTGCCGGTTCCAGAGTGGATTTTACTGTCTTGTCATCATCAGTGCTGCCAACATCCGAGTGGGGAGATCTCATCACCAAGAACTCATGGAGATCACTGTGGGAACAATAACTAAATATCATACTTACAGGTTGTTCCTTTGTCACTATTCCCAGCAAACAAACTATGTTTGGGTGCTGTAATCGTGATCTCATCATTGCCTCATGTTTAAATTCTTCCCGAAGAGCCAGTTCTGCTTTGTCTTTAAGTGTCTTAATGGCAACGGCTTGTGTCTGTTCACCTGGTGCTGTACCAAAGAGATGCCCCTTGTAGACTTTTCCAAACCTCTCCTCTCCTAGTTCTTCCATAAATCTCACAGTGGACAGATTAATTTCTTTAAGCTTAGCCTGAAATGAAGAAAAGACAGTCAGTAAAAAATATCACAACATTTTCTGAACATCAGGATCTCTTATTAAAGATCCCCAGTGGTTAGATCTCCAAATGGAACAAAAATTGGGCCAAAAGGATTTTTCTGGTTTTTTGTGTATTCACATCAGTATATTGATTTCACAATTAACCTTGAAATGAGTTACACTATTATCAGAAGTATAAATTGCATTATACTGCAGGATAATGGATAGAATTATTTTTATAAAGGAGTGGCCACACTTTCTGAAACTAAATGAATATTGGGTTCAGAGTAAATCTTGCAAGCAATGACATCTATTAACTGCAGCTGTACTTTGCCTGCAGACCAGCCTCGAGCTGCCCAGGGGATGTCTGTCAGAAAAGCAAGGAGGCTGAGGAGGTGGCAGTCTCAGAGTGAACTGAAACATCCTTTCCAGCAGAAGAAGGAACAAAATCTCTCTCTTTCAGCTCTGCAGAACCAGATAATGCCCTTTCTTTCTTTGTTTCAGTACAGGAATGGCCCCTGCCCATGGGCAGCAGTGAACAGTACCAGTGCTGAGGAACCTTGAGCTAGCTTCAATAAAGACAGGGGTGGAATTGGAGAAGAGAGGAGAAGGAATTTCTCTTTGGTACTTGGAGAAAAAGGTTGCAGATCCAAGAGTAGGAAATCCCCAGAGCCCTCCCTCTGCAGCTGGAAGGGAAAGCAAGGCAGTTTGTGATGGTGATGTAATGCATCTGTCCTGACCAGCACGGGATGGAGGAGTCCCTGACCAAATGAGGTGCAGCTGGCACAGCTTCACATACAGGACACCACAGCATGAGGGAGCAGGGCAGGCTGAGAAGATATTTTAGCAGGTGATTTGGGAACAACTTCTCATTTTAGTGTCCAACAGCCTATAGACTGGGCTGGAAAATTTCCTTCAAGTGTTCAGATTAACTCACAAAATCATCGCAATTAATTACAATTGGTAATATTCATCAAATACTCTACAGTTTCCTGAACAGGTGTTGCCAACTTCCAAAGTAAGCACTGTTTTTTAGAGCTTGCATCTTGTAAATGTTGTGGTTAAAAATTTGACATTAGGTCTGAACAGGATTTTAGTTCAGAGATCAATTAGCTGACCTAGAAAATCCTATGCAGGAGCTGACATATGTAGACATGAGTTCAAAGCCATTTTCCTTTCACCATCCTTTGTGATTCACAGCCTTGGAAACATGTTGCATGCCATCTCAGCTCTCAACTTACTTATGGATCAGAACACCAGAGGTCTTGTGCTGAAGGATTAGAACAAGAAACCCCAGGGTGCATCATGCTTTAAACAGGCAAACAGGCCACGTCATTACCAGGAGCAAAAATGAGCTGCAGGCTGAAGACTGGATCAGAAATGACCACTTTTCCAGTCACTTGGACAACAGGCAGAATGGCAATTGATGGGTAAGGACAAATGCCATTAAATACTGTGTACTGAAAGCTGTTGTCCAAGGTCAGGATTTATAGAGACACCTACAAAGTGCCAGACCTGGTTTTCCCTGAAGTAGATGGCCTCAACACTATGAAAATTAGGTCCCTGACAACATGGCTCAATTTGAACACAGACAACATGAGATGCTGAAAATCACTGCACTTTCAAAATACCTGGGCCTAAGCAAACTGTGTAAGAAATACCTGTTTATGTTGATTAATGAGTGGCATTTCCATGTCTTGGCTGGGAGATGCCATCAGCTGGCGGCGCTGTGGTGTAGCAGCAGATGCCTTCTGCTTGTTTCTGCACATGCAGACCAGGAAGAAAAGGCAGGCTATCACCAGAGGGATGGCTATGCTGGGAACAAGGATGTAGAGGATTCCCATTTTGCTGTTGTCACGTGGACCTGTCAAGCACAGAAATGGTTACAGTAAGTATTTTTAAGCTATTTGATAGTAACACAAATGATTATTAATACTATATTTTAAATCAAAAGTAAACTATGCCCTGAAAACAGAAGTCACATTACCTTCTCTCCTTTCTTCATAATTTTTCATTATATATTTCAAAAAAGCTTGAATGGACATAGCAATCGACAGTTTGAAGATAAACTAGGGGCCCCATATTTAATGTGTGGGCCATAACAGTATGTGATTAATTTTACTTTATTTTTGAGATTTCCAGTTGAGGAAACCATAAAATACAGACCAGATATCACTGCATTATCCTGTTCAGGGTATAAAGAACAAGTGAGCAAACTCCATCACAATATATAAACCAGTGAGTTCAATGTGCCCCAGAACAACAACACAGTCTGACCCATTCTCATAGATTCAGTCATTTCATCAACACTTGGCCCATTCTTTACCTCTACTGGTGCTACTTCTGCCCAGAATAAAATAAGTTGCACTTCTCATTGGTAGAGATATGATTTGTTCTGTACTTAATAGAATTGCAGAGCTTTTATGTTAGAGTGAGAAAGACATGAAAGAGCCACCAATACATCTAGGTCTGGAACCTTCCTAAAATATTTTTTCACTTAATACTTAGAGACTTTAGGAAAGCCTAGTGATGTCAAAAATGTTCACTGGAACTGCCTGGGATGTTTTCTGTAACCTGTGGTTTTGCTATTTGTGGCAACTGCTTTCACCACAACCACGTCCTGGTGTTATCTTTACCCTACGGTACATGCAATGTAGAAATTTATTATAAATGTCAAATCATGTTACTGCAAAAAAGTGAAGTAACTACAAAATTTTGTATTAGTTCTGAGCAGTTTTAGAGATCCACGTAATCCACTTTTATGGCCTCCATGACATATTTGTATCTTGCTGCAGGAAGCATGCTTTTCTTCCTAATGAAGTACAGTATTAGCTGTCATATCCAGAGACACTGTCATATCCAAACACAATTACCAATGTGTGAAGTCCAGTATGTGTGTACACCAACACTGGGAAAATGAGCAGAACAATCTATCAGAGCTGTACTTTTTATTTTTGCAAACAGTTGTGCTGTACAGAGCCACTAGCAGCTAGTGTAGGACTTTTCTGATAAGATCATCTGCTTTATGTACTTCAAACTGCTTGTTTCTGCACTTGAAACTGTTTCTTTCCAACCAGGCATGGTGCTATATCTCCCTCTATAGGATTTGAAAATCTTTGCTGCCTGCAAGATGTCATACAGAGCAAGAGAATGTACCCTTGGAGCAGCGTGAGCAAACCAAGCACATACTGGTGATTTGCATGTGCAATCTGTCATTTGACAAGTCAAAATAAAAACTGCAGCATCAAACTGAGACTTAGCTCAGACTAAGTAAGCCTCCAGTATATAATAAAAAATGGTCAGAATATCTTACAAACTCGTTCTCCAGAAAACATGAAACAATTACAACACAAAACAAAGTTGCTGCAAGTCAAACATATAGAAGTATAACCCTCCTAAATTAATTGTACTTATAATAACCAGGAACATTCAAAATTACACAGGATTCAGAACAGTAGTAGGAGAAAAAAGAAAGAGAATACATACTACAAGAAGGTATGTCACACAGTTCCATGCGTACGTTTTTATTCTTTGTAAAACACCACGGACCATCCATTTGACCTCCAGGATTTCGACAATATGCATGTCCTCCACCTAGCTCTGGAAACTGTGTGCTTGTCAGATCATGGTTGTGGGGACTCTGTGAGTCCCAGAGTTGGCAAGTGTGGCCTGACTTGGTAACACTGACGGTCCCTCTGTAGTCAGCTCCAGAGCCATTGTAGCACTGATGATCTAAAACACAGGGTTTGGGAAAATGTTAGAAAAATCAAAACAATCAAGGGACACAATGACCAAAACAACTGAAGAACGTGTATGCAAACAAGTACTCAAATTTAGGTACCTTGAGATTTCATTAAATCTGTTAACTTTGAAATTTCAGTTCTGTATATATCTGTACTTTTACACCCAGTTATTTCTGGATTATGTCCTGGAATGCCTCAGCTCTATGGTATACACATGAGTACTCTCAATTCTGAATTCAAATGGAGACTAAGAAGCATGTATGGACCTTTAGATACAGAACATGATAAGGTAAAGTAAATCAGAGATATGAGTTTCCCTTCAGTAAAAGTCTCCAGATATCAATACAAAAACTTTTGCTTCTCATAATCTTCCCATTTTCTTCACACTGATCACTTGCTATAGAAATCAGTTAAAGCCTCATGCCTCTGTTTCCTTATTTTCATGTTTAGAAAGAAAGGATTCAGGATCTTCCTCTTTTTAGAAGCATCATTTTCATATTTGCTGGACCCACATCTTTGTTCTTTGTTTTGCTGCTATCCTCTCTTCATACTTTTTGAGTGCTTGTCTTCTATATGCATCATCCGAGCTGAATCATGCATTTTTGCAATATTATCTTCTCCATTTTTCTGTTCTCCCCTCTCCAACACTCAGGAATCCAGCTCTCTCAAACCCCACAAATACTCAAGTTGCAGCTGTTCCATTAGTGGCAGCACCACTGGCTCTGAGAATCACAGACAACTTTCACCAGATGTTTTACTGATTTTGTTCTCATGCCTTTTGCTTGATATCTCTTCCCTGTCTGATTTGTCTCTGTCATTGTATTCTCAGTTACTTCTGTTTCTCAACTACACTACATTATTTATATAAAAGCACAGAACTAGTCTTTTATGTCTACCATTATGCCATGGCTCCTGCTCCTAACTGTGGATTCAGACAGAATCCACAGATAGTCAAAATAATCTTATTACACATTGTACTTTAAACATCTTTGGTCTCTTTGAGTTTTCTTATTGAACAATGTAGGGGGTTGTGATTAATCGCTATGAAATGGAGCAGTTAGAAAGACTGCATACAATTAGTATGCAGAACAGAACAGCCCTTCTACTTCTGGATGTAAATACAAATTCATGATCAATACAAGATCAATGTTTTCACCCATCCCATTTGGGTAAAGAATGTATTTACCATTTGGGTAAAGGGGTAAAGGAAGATAATTGCACCCCATGTTCAATTTACAGGATTCATATTCCTGTGGGATCCCATACAGAAAGAATGAACACTAGGTGGTTAGTTTCCTGACAGATCATCCAGTGATGCTTCAACAAACTGTATGAACTTAATCAATAGGTAAACAAAACTCTTAAATAGATATATGGGCAAGCTCACCCAAAAAGGCAAGGACTGAGCCAGGTGGTGGCAACACTCTGAAAATCTGCATCAAATCAGCCAGGTGAATAGGAAGTTTTATAGCCCTGGGTGGTTGATATAAAACATTCTGTTGTACAAGCAGCATCCTTTAGGCTTCCTTGCCATCCTAACTCTACAACACTGCAAGATTATGGTCAGTATTAACAAGATAAAAATGAGTAGTTCAGCACTTTCTTTACAAAAAGAATGGCTGATAAAATATTGTCTCTCAGACACAATCAAAAGAAACATCAAGCTGTACTTTTTCCCAGTGATGAAACACATGGACTTACATCGGCTCAGTCTCTCCACAGGGATCCCAATTCTTATGCAGTTGGCCGCTTCCAAGGTGTCTGGTCGTGGGAGGTCCTCACACTTAGGCAACTGTAGCTGCATCAAGATGAGGGGGTTTGACCTAGCAATGTTGTACTCCTGCCTACAGAGATCATTCTCCAGAACTTCACATTCATCCCGGCACAGCTCCCGTGGCTTAGGGGTGCGAGAACGCTCATCGCACAGGGGAAACACAAAGTGGCAGAAGGAAGGTATAGCGAACTGCGAGCACTGGTCAGACAAATGCGTCGAAGTGCCAATCATGGTAAACGCAGCTGCAGAGGAACAAAAATACAGACGAGTATTGATTCATAGCATGAGAAAAAAACTTAATTTTCACGCCATTTGTCTTGAACATCTTTATTCCTTCCTTAAGGGTCTGAAAGCCTATTGGCAAATGAGGTAATTTCTGCTGTAAAGGAGGGTTGACAAATGCAGCAAGAAAACCCAACATCCCAGTGTCCCTCTGACATCTGCACAGAGCTTGTAGGCCTCAATTCCCAGAAATTACAGTTCCCAGTGCTCAGACTACTGGCTAATTTTAACTTACACGGATCAAAAGCAAAGAAAAGCAAGATAACCTGCCAGGATACTGGTATGTATTTCCAAAGTTCCTAATTACAGAAAATCTGAACAAGGATTCTTCCTAACTTCTTCTTCCTGTAGACATTTTGATAAATAAACAAGTGTTTTTCAAGGCTTGTCAGGCAAAAAGAAGTGTATCATTGATATTTGGAAGACATGGCTTTAAACAGACATGAGAAGCCTAACATGCAGCAGCTTTGTGGAAAATTAATGTAATCAGTCTCAGCATGCTGATCACATTAAGATGAATGTCATAATGAGCTAGGAATGTAATTCTTCCCTTCAGCTCTCAGCACCTACACGCTAACATTTAGCTCAAAATTTTCTTGCACATTGCAAAGGAAAGACAAATGTGTGTGTGCATCATGTATCTGCTGCTGAATCAACCTTTAAATGTAGGAACATTCACTCCCTCAGTAAGGCATCATTCATGAGTAAGAGTTGCTAGACTGCATGTTCCACCAACTCACACTGTAAAAAGAGAGGAAATGCCATTCAGAAGTCTATTTACAACCTACAAATAAAGTCTTTCTCTCTTGTCCAGCTCTCTCCTTTCAATCACCTATTTCCTGTAGACACATGATACCACAGAATCTCTTCCTGAACACCAAATATGCAACAAGCAGCTGCAAATCTAGCTTTTTAGACTGTTTACACCTTTGCTTATTTTAATTCAAAAACATTAATGCAGGAATACAACCACTTATCAGTCATACTGGGAACACCGCATGCAAGCAGACCATCAGGCCTCAAAGGATAGTTGTAACATATGCTTGTCGCAAAGACTAAAATGGAAAAAAGAAAACTGAAGGACTGAAGTAGTCACTCTCAGTTGTTTGAAACTCCACACTAAGTTTTGTGAAGGCATTGCATTACAGAATTTAGATCATCGTGAGAGAAGAGTGCACAATTTACAATTATATCTTTATTTTGATGGAAGCTGCAAAAGCCAGCAGTACTGTGTGGTAGCATCTAAGGGGTTTATATTTTATTTATTAAACAGATGTTAAACAGCACAGCTGAGACCTTGGTAGCCAAACAAATATACACAGGTCAGGCATCAGTTCTGTGTGTTATTCATTGTCCATCCAGTCTTCCAAGCCACATCTAAAGATTTTCTCCAGAAATGTAATTATTTTTTTAACCAAAGGTTGCTATTCTCACCCAATCACATGGCCAGGACCAAAAAGCACAAGGGGCCATGGAGACAAAGAATATATATTTCTCACAAGAGTACAGCAGGGAAATGAAACTCCAGAATGAAAATTCCCCATAGATGTAACCTGGCTAAATGCTCCTTGAGTTGGACAGTAGGTGTCCCCACTTCCCATACACATTGCAACACACCATCAAAAACTGCAGTTAGGAGGTATGAGCAAAACTATCAGCAAAATCTCAGCAGCAACTATTCAGCTTTTTTCAGCTATTTCCTTTACCTGACAAGTTACTGCAATTTCAAAAGTACCCTGTCATATGGGTATAGAACACCCAGTCTCACAATACCTGCTTTACATATAATATGGCTTACAAGAACCAAGAATGCTATTAAATCCTCAGGGTACTTTTGCATAAGATGTCTGGTATGACCTTCAAAAGTATACCATTTGAAAATGCTATATTATTAACAGACTGTCATAACTGCCTAGCGAGGCACTGGGCAGCTCTATATGGTGTTCTCAGCATCTTCCTGAAAGACAACATCAGGAATTCCATCAGGAGTTCTCCTCAACTGCAAAACAGAGCGTTCCAACACCCTAGCTTTGTAAATCTAACAGATAATTGGTAATATTAGGAAACCAGCAGCCAGGTCATCAGTGCCCATGTTCCATATCCCAGAAACAAGTACAGCTCAATCAATGAACATTTTCTGGGTAATATCAGTTGAGTTTGGTTTTGCTTTTTGAAGAGAACATTATGAACCTAATTCACAGAATTACGGATTTAGTAATTCCAGATAGTTAAACACTTCCATATTGCTGAAAAACATCCAAACAGGACAGAGATTATGTAGCTGGTGAAAAAAGAAAAAAAAGTATCAATATGTATTAATTAATAACATAATGTTTAAAGAGGCTAGAGTTACAACAGAGTACAGGAGAAGGGTGGGAGGAGAATGTGTTGTAATAGCGTAAGTAAAGGTCAGGACCTGCATTTTGCCAGTCCCGGAATCTGGTCGCCATTTCAAGAACAGGAAAAAAAAAAAGGACTTGGATTCCTGGATTAACAATGAATGTTCAAGGATTCTTTAGGGAGTTAGTCTTTAGGGAGTTAGAGCTGACAAGTGAAGTTAAACTCCTTTTGGCAACTAGTTATGCTGAAGTTGGAGAGTCCATTAGTGAGCTGTATCTGGCCAGATGCAAATCAGCTCCTGCTGGACTGACCTAATTTGCTATACGCTATGACAAACAGTTTGCTCTATTCCATGGTTTCATTTTGCTTGCTCTACTTTGTGTACATCAGAGTCACAGCTGCTAAAATCAGCTAGCTGATATCCAGTGAAGAAAATCCATGTTGACGTACAGCCCATTAAAAATCATTAAGGTTTTGGATGCATGTTTGCAACTCTGCACAAAAAGTACGTTCAGAGAAAGATTAAACATAGGCAGAGCACAGGAAGGTCAACTCTTGTTTTATATAAATCAATGTGAAATCCACACTTGGCCAGAATTATGCAAAAAGGAAAGAAGCCCAAGGGAAAGGCAACCATACACTTTTCAAGAAAATAAAAGATCAGTACTTTTACACTATATCACAAAAGCATTTAAAGTATCAAAATCTTCTTTTTCAATCCATCATGCAAAAAGCTCCAGTATAAACTCGAAGCTGTTAAAAATTCAGTACTCTGACATTTCACTTAAGGACATGGAAGAAGCTTTACATATTACCACAGATACTCATCTTCCTTGCTCCAAATTTTACTAGATGCTCAAGTGGGAAACAGGCTCACCCCCTCAAAACCTTAATATAAAGATGTCTTCATCATTGGCTGACAAAACGAAAAGGATGATAGCACTGTTTTTACCTGAACTGGATACTTTTATGAATGTTTCTCCCTGCTAATGAGATGTGTAAGCTTACCAGTAATTCGGTTTTCAATTTCCCCTTGCATCTGGAGGGAGTCCACATAAATGGTTCTGTTTCCAATGATCCGTGCACACGCAATTCCCCTATATGGCTGACAGAACCCATCTTCATGGTAATCTTCTCTGCAAAAGACATGTTAGGATTTCATATGCAGATGTCTCTATGCTGCCAATGGATTTTTACAAAACATATTCTTATAAAAGTGGAAAAAACTCAAAATACTGTAAACCTGAAATTGTCCCATTCCTAAGGTGCAGCTTTTTCCTTCAATTCTCTCTTACCTTGGAAGTCTTATGAGGGATCCTGTAAACAGCTCATAACAGAAAGAAGAAAACAAAACCCAACATTAATTTTAAAATAATAAACTAATAATAGAATTTGACAGATGGATCTCTTAAAAAGCCTTTAGACTGAGACAGCAGCATAGATCTAGTTACATGTCCCCATGCATTTTTGGCATCCAGCTGTACTCCATAAAATTAGGCAGTTTGTGCTCTTCTCCCACTTCTCTCTCCCGCTCTTCATTTCCTGTAGTGGATAGCAGAAGAGATCTTGCCAAGCTCGAATTAAAACATGGAATAAGAGTAATCAAGGCTATAACCTCTTTTCCTCTTCTCTCTAGTGAAAGTCAGTGCCAAATTTCTCTTTCAACATGTATTTCAATATAGTTTTCAATTCAATGAAGCTTTGGGCCTTTCACTCCCTTACATTAACATAAATATTTTGGCACAAAAGCCCTAGCCTAAAGGCTCAGTGGTTCAACACTTCATCCCCAAAACCCCTGTAAATAATACAGAGCCAATCTGCAGATCATAACTGTCAGAGCACTAAAAAGGGACTTAAGAGAGAGAGCACTCTCAGAATAAATATCCGGTATGTCATGTGTTTCCTCCAGCATGGCATTGCCTCTGTGCTAGGATTCACTAACCCGATGGTCATTTACATCACCCCATATACTGCATGATGGACCAGAAATAGGTTAAAAAAAAAATCTAAAAAGAAATGTGTTTCTAGAGTAGGGCATCTAAAAACTTAATTAGCTTTTGTAACTAAACAGTTAAAAAGTCTGAGATACCTCTCCAATACCAACAACATTTGAAGTATTACTTCAATGCTCCTCTGCATTTTTACTTTATTGTCATGTTTGGATATTAATACCTCTTTTGGTCATGTAGGTTCCCCATTCCCTTACAAATACTTCCACCCTTTCTTTGGATACCACAAGAGCAGGAAAAAACTGTCAGTGACTACATGTAAAATTTCATAACTTTAGCTGTGAGAAACCAGCATGAAAACCCTCACTCTGACAATGGCTAGCCAACATTGCCTGTGCTTACTGCAGCCCCTCACACTGATACCTTACTCTGTCTTAGGAATCTTCTCATTTTTCCTCTGCTGTGTCTCCCTGATAAAGCCCACCTCTTCAGGGGAATGGTACCAATATTTCTTACACTTTGGCCATGGAAAGTTGGGCAGGACTGTCTGTACAGGTAGCCAAAAGGTGGAACTAGCAGTCACCACTTGAGCTGCATCTCTTCTTTGCCTCCCAAAAAGACAATGATTTAACAGGACTCTTGAGAAGTCATGGATATAAAGCATATCATGCAGCTGTTATCCAGATATGGCCTTCATTTCCTATCACACTATTATTTTTAAATATTCATAAAGCACATTTTTTTCTACAAACTCTGAAACAAGTTCTACTTCCTCAAAGATATGTAAGTTTTTGATTAGGGTGGATGAAGTAAAGGAGGAATCATAGGATCAACTACTCCCTGCAGTGACATTCTTTCATTCTTACAACAAAACCTGTAATTTTGCAACAATTGCATCATGCCTGAAGGGACAAAAATATCAAAGCATTTTGTCTGTGCCTGTTTTATGATCCTTGACCACCTCAGTAGGAAGTCAGCAATTCCCAAAAGGAGCTGAATGAATATGAAACCTCTATTCGACCTCTTTCTAAAGAGTAAATTCATACCCCTATCCTGCAGAACAAAGTCTGCAATGTATCTTCCTGAAACTGTATCTCACACTTCAGGTCTCAGTTCAGGGCTCTCTTGCCAATACCAAAAAAGAAAAAAAAAAAGCACACTCCAAACAGCATGGGTTTGGGGACAAAAGCAGTGTGACCTCTTACTTAGCTCTGTTTATTTATTTTTGTCAAGAACTTTAAAACACAGCTCAGATATTATAAATACACACATATGCTCCCCTCTCCCATGTTATAGCCAACTGCTGATTGTACTAAACTAGATGTGACCATTACCATGGACACAAGCAAAAGTAAACAGTAACCCGATGTCAGTTAACTCTGACGGAAGTGTGGCTGTTATTCTACATGCATCTTTGTCAGGTCAGGAAACTCAGTGAATGCTGTTTGACTAGTAGTGGTACTGAGAGAACAAAATTACATTAGTCTTCTTAGGAAAAAAACTGATTTCAGCTGCCAAAGTGGCAGCAGTGAGAGTCTCCTGACAGATTATTCTGTCCTTCAGCTATACGTACCCTTGGGATGTGGCAAAAAATCTGCAACAAAAAGCAACCTGGGGAGAGTCTGACAGAACAACGTAGGAGTGGTATAATGCGCAGTTCAAACGGGAGCCCTTGGAACCATGTGTGGCTTTGAATCATGCTCCAAACAACATGCCAGCAATTTAGTTGCTGATCAGAGCATTAATTAAAAGCTGCTGAAAACAGACAGAAATACTGACTCTTCAATTTCCTGCTGCTTGAACTATAATGTCTGCTCTGACCAAGAACCCTGGTGAAAGAGAAATCTGACTCCACAAAAGGAACTGAGAATAGTTCAATTTGTTCCACTTGCAGAAATCTTACAAGCTATCCACCACAGGTACTTTTTTACCTTTGTTCTTTAGTTTGCACATGTTTCAAGATAGCATTAACTTTTCTCTCCAGTGATTTTCTTCCATTTTTAAAGGTTTTTTTGGCTTTATTACAAAACAGAGTCAGACACATGCTAAGTGTTGGTCTTTTTTGCACCTTTGCTGGAAGGCTGAATCAACTACATTGCACCTGGAAAATGAATTTTCTCAGCACTCAGTTAGAATGGAGGTAAGGTGTTCTCTTACTGAGTGAACTCTCCTCCCAGTTACTCAACATATGTTTGGCCAGAGTTTGGATTTAAAAATAAAATTGTAAAGAATATGACTAAACAGACTTTTATTCATAAAATCCCCATTTCCATACTTCAGGTTCAGTGTTATCAGTTTTCCAGACCCAAAAGGTAACCTTCTGCCAGAACAATTCCATTAAGAACTAGGGTTTCTAATCAAAAGCAAAAGTAGAAGAACCTACTACTTCAGTCACTCAAAAATAAAACCAAAATATTGATATTATTTTTATGTACAACTTGTACAAGGTCTGGAAACATCTTGATAAACCAAGCACTGATAAGCATTTACAAGTTCCTTATCACACATGCACTGCAACACCTCATAAAATACAGCTTGCCTTCAGGTTTGTGGGTAGAAGTCCATATGAAATGGAGAATTAACCAAGCAAGCAGTGTAGAAGAAAGATGCAGATTCAATCATACAATGCTACTCCTCCTGTTGTTAGAAATCACAACTTCCAGAAACATCTGTGTCTATAAAGGAAGAACTGGATGAACCAGGTGCCTCTGAAGAGGAATAAAACCTAGCATGATGAATAGAAAACTCTCTAGATGGAGGTCATGCAACTCTTCTGTAAGATAGCTATCTGCTATAGAAATACATAAAGGGACTTTTAGATGTCTTGGAAAAATCATAGTGGACATCACTACCCCCACCCTCTCATTAAGCATTACTTTAATTTCGCATATGACACAGAAAGCACACCAAACAAAATACTACAGAAGGAAACATACTGGCAACAAAGATGCTTTTCTTCATGGAAAATTTTGAAATGTGGAAAGAATATGTCTGGGCACAATACACTATATGCTATCTCTGTAACACCACCTATTGTTTGCCACTGTCACAGCTGAACAGACTAGAGGGCATAAGAAACAAAAAAGTCACAGTAAAAAAAAAAAAAAGGCAACCATGGAAACTGTTCAGTACTAAAATCGCCTTTTGAAGCACCTGAATTTGAGGCGTGTTTTCAGTATGTATTTAGTGCCCCTGAAAACACAGTAAATGCAGACTTGTGGTTTTCCTTAGAAATAGAGAAAACATATGAAGCTCTATTTTTAGCAAGGATTCACAAAGCGAATTATGAGAGCAGAACTGAGAGGTACCACATATTAATTTCCTAGTGAGACACCTCTATTCTGATTGCATACCACAAGTTTTACTTACAAAGACAGCAGAAACTTCTAAGTTAAAACTATTTTCCTGAAAATAGAAAAGACAAAACACCATGCACCAGCCATAGAAAGAAACTCAGAAGTTCTCAAGAAAATTCAAAAAGAGTAAGATTTTCAATTTAATACATGGGAAAAAATCTCATTTAATAACACCCAGCAACCTACCATAGCAGTTATACGGACAGACGTATTCACAACCAACACTTTACTGAAGTAAACAACATAAACCAGTTCATAGATTATAATAGTATATTCCAAAGGTTAGCTATCAAAAAGTAGTAGAAACTTTGTTATAGAAGCTTCCCAAAACAAACTAAATGCAATTAAAATTTTCTATAAATTTTCCCACAACAAATAAACCTGAAACTTTGACCCTCTTCCATGCTGTCCAGGGATTAAGCAGCTTTTAATCAAGAATTGTTAAATACTGAGACCTCCCACTAATGTTCCATTATAAACAGAATGGCAAAGCAAGGACATATGCACAGAAAACCACAGACTATGATAGATGAAGAAAAAGACAAATTATATATGTCAGCCTATTTGCTATTCTTAGAGAAATACAACATTTGGTATACAGTTGCTTATCTTAACAGGATGTCTCAGGATTTCTGATAGTTACAACTTGATAACTAATGTCAGAAGCTGTATAAAGAGAATGATCATGACAGACAGCAAGATCAGAGGAAAAAGGATAGGCATCATATTTCTGATTATGAGTTTGCTTAGCCTAGAGTGTGGCTACTTCATAAATATATATCACAGAAATTTCTTGACCTGCAACACTAAAAAGAATAAAGGAATAAAGGG